TTTCTACCCCTCTACCCACATCCATCCATTACGGTCTTCCCCGGAACACAACGCACCCTGATTATGGCTGTATAGGACCGGGAAAATAGCTTGTATGCATTCATTATTATGAAGGTAGACCCACCCTGATAAGGAATGCATGCAAGCTATGTTTCCGGTTTGGTACAGCCCAGAATGGGCCGCACGACTAGACTGCATATTTTATACTCCACGCGGCTATTTTTTTGCTGACCCGAGTTCCTGTTTTTTTTTTTTTTTTTTTTTTTTTTTTTTTTGAAATTCATTGTATGCTGGGAACCCCAGTTCACGAATTGTGAGCAAGGACGAGCTGAGCAAGGCCCTCTCCTGCCAAGCAGAGCTGGGACTGCAGTGTTCTCAAGTCCTAACACCAGTGCTCAACAAAACATACAGCAGTGATTAATCCATGTACTGAGCTAATTGCATCCAAAACTTCCACCAAAATGTAACTGACTATTCATAAGGAACAACAAAACTCAGTGGCATTCTACCGATGCTCTACCAAGCTTACTCTTTTCTTTTTCTTTCTTTCTTTCTTTTTTTTTTTTTTTTTTTTTTTTTTTCTTTTTTTTTTCGTGGGGAGCTGCACGAGTTGGGAATCGGGCCCAACGTCCCTTATTTACCAAGCTTACGACAGTCCTTTCCTTTTTTTATACAGGCCTGAGCCCCCAGGCATATGAGAGTCTCTAGGCATATGAGAGTCTCTACAGTAGTTGGCCATTCGATCATCCAGATGATTTTATATAGGCCTGAGCCCCCATATGAGACCCCCTCCCAGTGGCACCCGTCCTCATTACAATCCACCGGAGTTTACAACTGCATGTGAAACTCGACCGAGACCGAAACTCCCATTTTAATGCCAGTGTGCAAAATGAGAATGAACTTCCTGCTAGAACATGGCCAGATGCACCTGCCACAATTTTGTCTTTTTCACATTTAGTTAGAGAGTGGTGTGCCGAGGCCCATTATTAGTTTTTAACTTTTTACTTGATGCTGTGAACAGCTCATATGCCTACGGGGCTACGCCTTGTCGTGTCTGGCAATTATGGCCCCGGCTCCTCTTTCTAAAAAGTATGGCTCACCCAAGAGCCTAGCTCAGTGGGGACCACACCCATGAACTGTTGAAATACAGACCAGGTGCTGTGTTCGAATCCAGATGATGGAACTTGACGAGTAAAACCAACTACTAATGAATTGCTTGGGGCCGGTCAGCTCAAATGATAATACCTCAAGGCCGTCGCCCTTTTGCTAGCCTCCTAGTTACCCCTTCGGCAGTGTGGTTGGCTGAAAGAGGCATGAATATCCCGATCCTTTTTTTTTTTTTTTTTTTCTAAAGGCCGATTCCGAAAAACCTACTAGGCAGGGTGATAAGAGCAGCCTTGCCTAGTAGATCTTCATGTGGCCACTCCATCTATTGGTGGGGAGCATCGCCTGCTGGAAAACGGGTCCAGCGTCCCTTATACAGAGGAATTCAGGAAGATGTCTGAAAAGTAACTGAGAAAAATTTCTGCCAGCATTGATTGCTCTGGTTCCCAGAGGATTGGCTGCACAGATTGTTGAGAAGAAAGGGGAAAACCTCTTCGCCCTGTATTAGGCGCCAGATCTTCTACTGCTGAGGGAATAGTTCCTCCCTAACCCATCTTTCCTCATTGCTTCCCGCCTTCCCTTACAGTAAAGTTTACAGAATGAATGTAGACTAAAACTTATCTTTTTGAATGTAGACTAAAACTTATCTTACCCTCTACCAATGCCCAAAAGTAGCATGCTGTCAGCACTTATCTAACCCTCTACCAGCATACCACCTCCTTACAGATGCCCAAACCATAATTGTCTTTCTACAATTGCTGTGGCTGGCGGAGGGAACATGTCTGGGAACTGCTCAGGGCTCTTCATAGGGATGTTGGGGTCAAGCTGGAGCCAATCATGGAATCTTAGTTTGTAGTCCTTTGTAAAGCCCCCTTGTCCCTCCTCATCCCTCTTTTCCCCACGCCAGTCTACCTGGGCCATCTTACCCCCCCCTTTCCCCCCCCAGCCATTCTGCGCAGAATTTCTGGATTTCCTTAATGATATCTACTTTTTGCGTGAGGATTTCCATTTTTCCCTGCACTCTTTTCCAATGCATTCTTATTTCGGTTTCGATGAATTGTTTTACTGTGTCTGCCACTTCCCCTTCCTCCATTCTGGCCCCCTCTTGATCAAAAATGCACCTTCTTAACCATAGCATCCAGATCATCGCCTTCCTCCGCTTCCTGGCTATGGAGAAGAGATTGCTAGCCAGGTTAGATGTGTGTGGCTTCCCAAGCTCTCCTAATAGAAGAGTTTCCCATCTCCATGGCCACTCCTCATCGGTGCCCAGTTGTGACCAGATACGATCGCATCATCCCACCATCGCCACAGCAGGACAGCCCCAGGGCATTGCAGAAAAATCTGTTCTATTGTTTCACATATTCTACGCCCCGGGAACCCTGCGTTACAGAGTTTGCACCATGGGAGAGCCTCCCCCCTTTGTTCCAAGTTCGTCCTGTCGATGATCCAATTATTTGTGGGGAGGCATCTGTGACTTATTTGCCATTCTAGAGAAACGAACTTTGCAGGTCTCTCCTTCACCTCTCTGAACCATTTCAGCCTTCTTATACGGTCTTTATTTAGGTGAAGGCTTTTCTGCCATCTATCACCTATCTCTGTCTGCACATCCACTCGGGATCTGAGCATTCTGTAGGTCGTTTAACTGTTAGTTCATGCAGATGCACCGATTGCCCTTTTCGTCCTCTTATCCATTGCCATTCTAGAGAATCCATGGCTAGCCTGGATAGGGGGGTTTCTGGTCGATAAGCTCATCATTGGGTCTTCCCTTCCTTATGGCTCTACAACACCCGGATTCGGTAGAGATTGGAATT